ATCACTATTAAGTATTATTTAGAAAAAAAACTCAATATTTGTAGAAAATGTGTCAGTGAGGTCAAAAAATAAGTTGTTTTTCTGACTATTTGTTTTTACAAAAACACCATTTGAATACATTTCATAGCTTCTCTAGTAGATGTGTCTTGATTTAAGAATGCTTCATTATTTGTTTTGCAAAATGAGACAAAAAGCAAGCAAAAATGTTGATTGTTTCATTTATGGATCTGTTATTAAAATTAGCTAGCTTTCCATCTAGACGACTTGTGGTTATTTTTTTCCTAAATAATTTCAGATCTAATTAATTTGGTATTTTTTTTCTGAATAATTTTAGAATGCAATTAGAGCTAGAGTGTGGGATTATAATAAAACATTTATAATAATTTATGCAATTAATGCATTGTATTTCTGTTGGCTTATTTTAAAGGGCACCTATTTTTACCCCTTTTACAAGATGTAAGATAAGCCTTTGGTGTTTCCAGAATGTGTCTGTTAAGTTTCAGCTCAAAATACCCATCCGATCATTTATTATAGCCTCCAGAATCTGCCCATTTTAGTGTCTGAAAGACACTGTAGTTGTTTTTGTAGCCTGTGGCTTTAAATGCAAATGAGCTGGTTCTCCCCGCCCACCACTCCCACATGTGTGTGTGCTTCTCATCATGAGTTGTCAGATAAACAGCAGTCACTGATAGAGCCAGACTCGAATGAAGCTAAAGTACAGCTCATTAGTCAAAAATACCAAGTAAGTTTGTTTGATGTATTTGTGGAGGAGTTTATTCAAGCCTTTCTGATATGATGAGTCACACACAAATGCCGTTTGCAGCACACACACACACACACACACAGGGGTGCCGCTAGTGGGGGTTTGTGAGTTAGGACGATTCAAAGGGCCCACACATCTAACACCCCCCCCCACCCCCACACACACACACACACACCCCAATTGTGTTTCTATCTCTCTAATATGCCTGTGGACACACTATACCTACTTTTCTGTCAGCTTACAAAAGATGATCTTCATCATAGGTGCTCTTTAAAATCAAACAAAGTGTTTTTAACATTGAATTACCAGATTTTGTGACACAAAACAGGCTTCTCAATCTCTGTTAGGATGCCGTCTACGTAGGGAACATCAGGTTTTGGGAGAGGGGTCTGGATGCAGACCTGGCGCAGTGCAATCTGAGCTGCATGCAATGCCTTTTAATGGGCTCACCTAACCCCACCCCTGACAGTGACGTCACTAGCTCCAATGAGTGAGAGAGATTCAATCTCAGCTTGCATCATCAAGGCTGCGTCCAGATACTATTGGGTTTTGGACAGATGTGTTGCAAATTTCTGAATATATATTGAGTTTTTTCCTTAATAAATCTGTTTTCTCTGTCTTTATTAATAATAGTTGTATTCCTCATTTACCCTGATGTCCAATAATCCATCATTCTGCTCCTCTTCTTTTTTTATGCGAGCTAGCATAGACGGACGTCTTCTGTATATAAACTGAATGTTTGGTTGTTTTCACTCATTTATTCCTTGCTTTTTTATGACAAGAAATTTAATTCTAATGTCTGATCATATTGAAAAACCATCTTCAGTATTGTTTTTGTACATTAACTCAGCCGAACTGACATGGAAGTGTGTGTTTCGTATAATAACCTGAGCGTACGTGTGGACCTTTTTATGAAACGGTGAGAGATTTTGATTCCCGAGGTCAAACTTTGATGTTTTTATGCTTCACTTCTCATTTGTTGATGTGTTTTTGTTCTTTATTAAACTCAAAACAAACCAACAATAAAAACTGATTGGATCAGAAGTGCCGTCATTTGCTTCCTCCTGTTTAAACATCACCTTTAAACCCTCAGAAATGAACACTTCTTCATGCATATCAAGATGCAAGCTGTATAAGTCTATTTCTCTTCTCGGTTTTACATTTGGCGAGTGTTTCCGTGATGTTTGTTTACTGATTGTGAAAATATGAGGTATGATGTGTGCATAACTTTACTCATGTTAAATGTGTTTCATCCACTGTTAA